AAAGTGGCCCCTCACCCGCCCCATGGCCAGGACCCTGCACTGCAGCCACTCGCAGCCCACATTGGGCTGCCTGTGCCTGCTCAAGACATCCCCACATGGGATACAAATGGCTACACCAGGGAGCTCCAGGCACAGGGCGGGGGAGGGGCCGCTTTTCCCCTGCACTCCACACCAGCTCCTTCCCGCCCCCCGCCCCCCCCTTACCTGAGGCTCTGGCATGGTGCAGCCACGTGGTCCCAGGCCAGAAGCCCCTGCTGGGGCTTCCGGCTGGGGGGGTGGGGCAGGTGGGCCCTGCTGTTGCCCTTAGTTCCTGTCATCTTTGACAGGAACCAAGGACAGATAAATTTTAATTTTCTAAATTTTTTTAGGGGCTCCACGGGCCAGATAGAATGGCTTCACAGCCGAATCCAGCCCACAGGCCATATTTTGCCCACCCCCTGCCTTAAGGAGAGCAGGGACAGTAGCTGTGAGTGAGCCTCCGTTGCCTGCAAGAGCTGGCAGCTCTGCAGGATCTACTGGAGCTGCAAGAGGTTCATACCTGTTGCAAAGCTCCAGAGGAGAGGGGACCCTGGTCCAGCAGGCCTTGGGGCCGTTGACCACCTTGGTCCAACCCCCTGGCTGGACAGTATGGGAGATGCTTGAGTCCTCCCTTGTCCTGGCAGGTAAACTTGGTCTACCCTCAGCCTCCAGGGGGTGAAAGGCCTGGCAGTAGGAGTCTATCTCCTGCTTGCCATCCCTGATGGCACACAGTCTCTGGACTGTGGCCTGAAGCTCCTCTGTCTGGCGCCCCAGAGACTCCAAAGTGGAGCAAACCTCACAAGGGGAGGTGGCCATGCGCCCAGTCCCATGTGCCTGGAAACATGCCAGGCAGCCCCCGCAGCCGAGAGCCAGAGGCTCCATCTGCATGGAGCCCGGAACCATGGGTTCCGTCTGGGTGGAGACCTCAGAAGTGCCAGAGGGGGAGGCCTCAGACTTCAAGGGGACCCTCGGGGTGTGGTGTGTGCCCATCCACATTGTGCTGCTGGTAGTCTGGCTACTGCTGTGACTACCTACCCTTAGGCTCACTGGCAGGGCCTTGGGCCTTCCCACATGCCCTCCTGCGCAAACTCCTGCACTAACTCGCATGCCGGGCCCACATTGCCTTTCTTACCCATTCCCTGCCCTTTGTATTCCAATCACTGCTTTCGCTTTATCAACTCAGCTTCTTACAGTCCCTTCACAGCTTCTGATGAAGTAAGCCCTCTACTTACAGCCCCATTTAGCAAAAATGTATGCTATACACTTCTGATTTAGTTAGCGCAAATCTATTCTGCCTACTACCTTTTCTCCATACCAGCATCCTCAAGTTCTGGCACAAGTTCTTTGCCATGCATCATGGCACAAAGCACTTGCAAGAAGAGGAGGGCCCTGCAAGTTAACAGAGCTGGCTCTGGCAGAGCAAGGAGCAAAGCAAAAACAAGAGCTAAGGGGCTTTTTTAGAGAAGGCTCTGCCAATCAGTCTTGTTCTGCTCACAATGCAGAAGGTGAAGGCCAAGGACCTTGCTGCTTTCATTCTGGTCATGTGTAACGTAGGGTTACCATACGTCTGGGTTTTCCTGGACATGTCCTCTTTTGTAGGTCCCAGATCTCTGTCCAGCCAGTTTTTTGAATAGGAACCTATGTCTGGGATTTTGCTCTGCTCCGCTGGTCGAAGCAGTGGGAGGGTGATTGAAAGTAGGGGCGGTGCTGGGGGTAGCTGTCTCAGCACTGGAGCTGCAGCAGGGGGGCAGGGGCAGGGGGGCAGGGGCTACCACCAGATAGTGCTGTAGATTTTTTTTAGTTCACCCCTTTGTCCATGAGATGGTGCTTTGAACTGGTGCAAGGTGGCAGCTCCATCCCAGGATGTGGGGGTGCTTCAAACCTTCCCTCTTCCCTCCAGCCTGTGCTGGGGCCAGAATCACTCCACCATCACCCACACGAATCAGGACCACCACGCTCTGGCCCAGGCAGGACAGGGGCAGCTGGGGGCCCTCTCTGGCAGGGCTGGGGGGAGTAGGGGGCTGCAGGTCAAGAGTGAGGGTCACCAGCAGGACTGGGGGGCAGGAGGCTGCAGGTTGTGAGTGAGGGACACCAGCAGCGGGGGGGGGAGGGGCACAGGAGCTGCAGGTTGTGAGTGAGGGGCACCGGCAGGCCTGGGGGAAGGCAGGAGCTGTGGGTCAGGATTGTGGGGAACTTGCAGTGCCAGGGGGCTGTGGCTCAGTTGTGAGTGGCAGTAGCATGGCTGGACAGAGTTGAGGGGCTCTGGGTCAGGAGTGAGGGGCACTAGCAGGGCCAGGGGTCTATGGGTCAGGAGTGAGGGGTAGCAGCAGACATGGGGGGCTGCAGGTTGGGACTGAGCAGCACCAGGATAGCCTGGGAGGGGGGGTGCAAAGGACCGTGGATTGGGAATGAGGGGCACCATCAGGGCCAGGGGTCTGCAGGTTGGGAGTGAGAGGCACTGGCAGGGCCAGGGAGCAGTGAGTTGGGATTGAGGTGTCCCCCCAGCAGGTGTACTCTTTTTTGGAACTGGAAATATGACAACCCATGCTGACACTAGATTATTATTATTATTATTAGTAGCTGGTGCAGATCCTGGAACATGAAGGTAATGTGCTGCCAGCATGAAATGCCATTTAATACATGGACCATTGCCCTTAAGAAGTCACAAACCAAATGCAAGAATTCATGTAGCTTTTGCAGTAGGACAAGGAAGTTCTGGACTTCAGCAACAGCTGGGAGGAAGCCAGCAGCAAGTGCTTCAGCAACAGCAGGAGGCTGACTGCCACCAGCGTCCTTTGGCAACAAGCTCATTTTTTAGTTATCTGAGTGACACAGGCTCAGTTCTGCTTCTGAACTGCTTTATGGGCTCCAAATCTTTGGGCTATGGAGTCAGACCCCATTTAGCAAGGTCCTTTAGCACATGCCCCCCTCAAGCACATAGGTAGTCCAAATGATTTCATCTTAAATTTAGGTACACACTTAAGTACCTTATGAAGTTGAGGCCTACATGAAGACCTGATCCAAAGTACAATGAAATCTAAGGCAAAAGCCCCTGCTAACATAAGTGGGCTTTGGTTCAAGCTCTTATTAATGCTACTG